TCCCATTCCACAAACAGAAAACTGAGAATCCATAATGTTATTTTTCCAAGATCATTAAGAGAATTCATGGCTGAGAAGTCTAAGTGACAATGTCTCCACTGCCCCCCAAAACAAACAAAAACCCTTTGCCACTTCTGTCTAGACTAAACTGTCACCATTATCCAATGTGTTGTCAACTGTCAATCAGTGAACACAAACAGTCTCTAACAATACATGCAATGAAAACTTAATAGTTTTGCTCGGGAGGGAAAGCAGCCCATAAATTAAGTATAACCTCATCTTTCTCTAAGTGACTAATATTACAGATGAATCCTACACATGTCTATTGGAAGTAAGTCCCACTGAATTCAATGGGCTTACTCCCAGGTAAATCAGTATAGAATCACAGCTTTAATATGTAATGGAGCTCTAAAGGGGCTCTGTTCCACACAGGAGATAGCAGCATGTTTTTGCCTGGATGTCTTAATTGCTATAGTTAATTAAAGCTCATCAAAAAGAGATGAGCATAAAACAGGCAAAACAAGACGAGAGCTTGGTGGCTTGTTCTCAGCATTTTTTGAAATGGGGACAGTGAACTGATCTTTGGCACCTTGAATGCTGCGTAAAAGGCACCGTTCATGTCAGGAATAACTAATCAAATGCTTAAAAAAGTGAATTGGATGGGATGTGTAATTTATTCTCTGCCAGTGCCAGTCCATTGCAAATGATAAATCTACTTTTTTTTTAAAGAATGAAAGAAATCCATTAAATTAATAAAATGTGTGGAGAGAAGCTGATGGACTGTAATAGCTTATGATGAGGACTCAGAGATGTTTCCCATGTTAACACATCTTATAATAACCCTTTCAATTTACATCAATTCCTGCTATTGTCAAAATGCAGGTGAATCATATTTATGTGGATTGGAATATTTATTTTTGGTTACACAGAATATTAAATGAGCTGTCAAGAGGCTGCAGTAAAAACAGAGAGGCTCTCCCACACTGAAACAGGGGTCAAAGTTGGCCACATTTTGCTGTTTCCATGCTTTGCCTGTAAAATACAGAAAAGGAGCTTGGGAATCTCCCTCATAAGGAAATGTATGTGCTCCAGTGTGGGGATAGAATGTTCCTCTCCCAGAGCATCAAATCATAGAATTGTAGATTCAGAAGGGATCCCAAGACTCACTAGTCCAATCCCCTGCAATGCTGTCCATGTCTCACTTTGGAATATTAGGTAAAGGTAAAGGTACCCCTGACTGTTAGGTCCAGTTGCGGACGACTCTGGGGTTGCGGCACTCATCTTGCTCTATAGGCCGAGGGAGCCAGCGTTTGTTCGCAGACAGATTCCAGGTCATGTGGCCAGCATGACAAAGCTGCTTCTGGTGAACCAGAGCAGCACACGGAAACGCTGTTTACCTTCCCTCCAGAGCGGTACCTATTTACCGTATTTTTCGCACTATAGGACGCACTTTTTCCCCTCCAAAAATGAAGGGGAAATGTGTGTGCGTCCTATGGTGCGAATGCAGGCTTTTGCTGAAGCCTGGAGAGCGAGAGGGGTCCGTGCGCACCGACCCCTCTCGCTCTCCAGGCTTCAGGAAGCTATCCCAAGTCTTGCAAGCCCGGCGGGATGTCCCGCGGGCTCGCAAGGCTTGCGGGCAGCAGCCTGCACCCAAAAGCTGGGGACAGGGGGAGGCGCAGAGCCACCACCCCACTATTCCCCGACCTGATCTGGAGGCTGGCGGGGGGAGAAGCAAGCCTGCTTCTCCCCCCCCAGCCCCACAAGCTCGGGGGATAGGGGGATGGGGAAGCGCCGCCATCCCGCTATTCCCCGACCTGATCTGGAGGCTGGGGGGGGGAGAAGCAGGCTTGCTTCTCCCCCCCACCATCCCCACAACCTCCAGATCAGGTCGGGGAATAGCGGGATGGCGGCGCTCCGCCACCCCGCTATTCCCCGACCTGATCTGGAGGCTGGGGGTGGGAGAAGCAAGCCTGCTTCTCCCCCCCCCCAGCCCCACAACCTCCAGATCAGGTCGGGAAATAGCGGGATGGCGGCGCTCCGCCATCCCGCTATTCCCCGACCTGAACTGGAGCCTGGGGGCGGGAGAAGCAAGCCTGCTTCTCCCCCCCCAGCCCCACAACCTCCAGATCAGGTCGTGGAATAGCGGGATGGCGGTGCTCCGCCATCCCGCTATTCCCCGACCTGATCTGGAGGCTGGGGGTGGGAGAAGCAAGCCTGCTTCTCCCCCCCACCAGCCCCACAACCTCCAGATCAGGTCGTGGAATAGCGGGATGGCGGTGCTCCGCCATCCCGCTATTCCCCGACCTGATCTGGAGGCTGGGGGTGGGAGAAGCAAGCCTGCTTCTCCCCCCACCAGCCCCACAACCTCCAGGCTTCAGGAGAGCCCCACCGCCAGCCCCACAAGCTCGGGGGACAGCGGGAGAGGCGCAGCGCGCCCTTCCCGCTGTCCCCCGACTTGGCTAGAAGGCTGGCGGGGGGAGAAGCCTGCTCCTCCCCGTCGCCAGCCCCGCAAACTCGGGGGACAGCGGGAGAGGCGCAGCGCGCCCTTCCCGCTGTCCCCCGACTTGTCTAGAAGGCTGGCGGGGGGAGAAGCCTGCTCCTCCCTGTCGCCAGCCCCGCAAACTCGGGGGACAGCGGGAGAGGCGCAGCGCGCCTTTGCCGCTGTCCCCCGACTTGTCTAGAAGGCTGGCGGGGGGGAGAAGCCTGCTCCTCCCCGTCGCCAGCCCCGCAAACTCGGGGGACAGCGGGAGAGGCGCAGCGCGCCTTTCCCGCTGACCCCCGACTTGGCTAGAAGGCTGGCGGGGGGAGAAGCCTGCTCCTCCCCGTCGCCAGCCCCGCAAACTCGGGAGACAGCGGCAGGGGCGCAGCGCGCCCTTCCCGCTGTCCCCCGACTTGGTTAGAAGGCTGGCCCAGCCCCGCAAACTCGGGGGACAGCGGGAGAGGCGCAGCGCGCCATCCCGCTGTCTCCCGACATGGTTTGGAGGCTGGCGGAAGGCTTCCTCCTCCCCCAGCCCCGCAAGCTCCCAGAGCGATGCCAAAGCTGCGCGCAGCTTCGGCATGGCTCTGGGTCCCGTTCTGGGGGAGGGGGAAGCTCGGGCTTCCCCGCCCCAGCCCCGCGCCTGGCGGGGGGGGAATAAATTTTTTTTGCCTTTATTCCCCCCCCCCAAATCTAGGTGCGTCCTATGGACCGGTGCGTCCAATAGTCCGAAAAATACGGTATCTACTTGCACTTGACGTGCTTTCGAACTGCTAGGTGGGCAGGAGCTGGGACTGAATAACAGGAGCTCACACTGTCGTGGGGATTCGAACTGCTGACCTTCCGATCGGCAAGCCTTAGGCTCTGTGGTTTAGACCACAGTGCCACTAGACTCGAAGCTCGTTAAAATGTTCAAAAGCTCGAAAAAAATTCAATTGAGATTGAAGAGCTTTAAGATGCCAACATCTTTAGCACTGAAATTTAGGAAACCTGCATGAATGCAACTAACTATCTACAGGTAAGATCTAGTATGGGGGACTTGGAGATCTATAGCTTGCCCTATAGAAAAGTTTTCAGATCACTTCTAACACTGGCCCAAGGATCAATCATCACAAACTGAAATAGGAATAGCATTCTGTAAGTAGGGTGAAATCACAGAATAGGCCATTCTCCGGTCAGCCAGCCAGCTCACCTCAGCAGGCAGGAGAACTTAAGAAGGGCCTCATAATGTCAGAATGAAACTAAAGCCCTCAGAGATGTGCATGGGTCAGCAGAAATCCTTTTCAAGTATCTGACAAATTGTAGATAGCTAACAAAACAGTGCAGACCAATGTCAAGCTTTTTTTTAAAAAATGGAATTCTCAGTCTCAAGCAAAGCTAGCTGCAGATATGACTCATAACCTGAATCCACTGTGAGGATTTGCTTAGGCACCATTATAGCTCTCAGTTGAGCTGTCTTAAAAGAAGCTGCCAAAGGAGAGAAAGATTCTGCCCTCCACTGATCTTGTCTGGTTGCACCTAGACGTGAGCAACGTGAGTCCATGGCCATGACATGAAGGCATAGGAAGCCACCACCACCTTGAAGCTAGGAAGCGTTAGTCTGGTCAGTGCCCGGACTGAAGACTTACCTGAGTACCGCATCTACACTGTCTCAGGTTTCACAATGGATGGAAGGAAGGTGAAATATAAATGTAAGAAAACAAAAAATAATAATAAAATGCTTCATCCATTGCCTGACTCAAATAAAGCAAATATGTGGTATGCGTGCTCCTTCGCTCTAGAGCTCACTCATAGTTTGCCACGTGTCTATTTGGCCTTGCTTCCTTTTATTTTCTGAACTCGAAATGTGGAGTACAAGTTGAGATATTAGCTCAATTGCCTGTCTTAATCTTAAATCTTAATTACATTTGGAGCTTTTCCCACTTAGCAAGTTTTTTCTCAGAAGGATATCTGCAGGAAATCAATTTCCATCTTATTTACTTCAGCTAACCGAAAATAGAAGATTAACGACTGTGAATATTATCACTGGTAAGTACACTTAATGCTTGACCCATTCAAATCAAGCTGATGATACGTATTATTCAGCTCAGAGGTTCCAGACATATATGGAGTGGGCAACTCATCTCCTCGACTCAAGTCTACCCTTTCTGTCCACGCCCAGTCACAGAAACTCCAGTGGTGGAGCATCTGTGTTCACTTTCCTAGAACCATTTGCCCTTGAGAGTTTCACTGGCACAAGCCACAGTTTGTCTCTACAGCAAAAGGAGCACAGCAAGATCAGGCTGTCCATAACCACAAGACACCAAACATTTTTGGAATATCCAGCCAATGCAAGACTTGCCATCTTTTTTGCCCATATCCAGATGTTCATGCTAATTTTTCCATTTCATATTTTTTATTTACCGTATAGCTTGGGCTTCAAGCACTATTGAGACAACAGCTCAGCAGTACAGTCAACCTGCTGGTTAAGAATAACGTGAGCTTATTTTAATAATGCAATCTGATTAAAAATAACGCAAGTTACCTTCTTACATGCTGTGACCGAGCTTCCAAGACTGCTTCCTGAACTATCTGTGCCACTGCTCTGGTGCTCTGAAACTTCATACATCAGCGGAGATTCAAAGTTGCTGAAGAGAGAAAATCATTCAGTGACTTCAGTGACTCATTGGCATAAATAAATCAAATATGGCTTCATTTTTAAGTCCTACCCAACACAGATCACTTCAATCCCTGCTGTTTTCTAGGTTAGCAGCGCAAGTCTATTGACTGGTTCATCTTGCTGCTTTTGGAAGTATGCTCTAAAATAACTCCCTGGTGCCTTTTAAAAACTGAGAATAAAGACCTTAGCTGGACATAATGGCATCTGTCTGCCTTCAACAATACAATTAAGTGTTCCCTTCCCCCTCAAGCACAGTTCTAGGGACGCAACTGATATGTAGTGGCAGCATTCATTCAGCTTGACAGATTCCAAGATAAAAACAAACAAACTTCATGCTGTGCTTCAGCCTTTGCCAACCTGGTATATATTTTGGATTAATGTTACAATCAAGCTCCAGCCAGCTAGCTCTACTGGCTCATAGTCCCAAAACATCAGAGGGCACAAGGTTGGCAAAAGCTCCTATGCCTCATCCCAGTCCCCTGATTCACAACCAGGAAAAAAAGACAAATTACTGTACAGCTATTCAGAGACAAAACAACAACAAAAAGTGCAATGGGAATGACTGGACTACAGAGCCCAAGCAGGCTTTCCTCATCATCATGGCTAATGTGGTGTGGTGGTACAGTACACAGTGTTGCAAGCGTGAAATCCAGAATTTGCAGACATAGAGGACAGTCTGGAGCTATCATCCTCAGGCACAGCTTGTCATGCAGAGCCGACGCCAGTCATAAAATGTTGCTACTGATGGATTAGCAACTCATGATGGCAGCCCATGGAACAAATCTATAAATCATTGCCCTCATCAAACCCACTCCACTGATTTGGCGCTGTGGGTGGCACTTTCACCATACACTCACGGTTGCTACATAATGGTCACATGACGTCCACAATGAACCTGTAGAGGTGGCTCTTGCCAGAGGGCTCTGCCCACATTCTTTGTTTTTTCATTGCTTGGGGATGCTCTGTCTCCTAGCCTTTGTATTTGGAGAGCAAATTTACATGGGGTGGGTGGGTGAGAGGTGAACTAAGGAGCAAATACAGACATACCTCAGGTTATATATACTTGGGTTGTGTGTTTTCAGGTTGCGCACCGTGCCGAACCCGGGACTACCGGAACAGGTTACTTCTGGGTTTCGGCGCTTCCGCATGCATAGAAGTGCTAAATTGCGCTTTGTGCATGCGCAGAAGTGCCGAATCACAACCCGTGCGTGCGCAGACATGGCGCTGTGGGTTGCGAATGCTTCGGGTTATGAACGTGCCTCCCCCACGGATCACGTTCGCAACCCGAGCGTCCACAATATTTATTTATTTTTCTACACCTCCCATAGCACTAGAACTTCAGACCAGTCAGCAAAGTTCTTTGGAATTGCTTCCTCACATTGTACATAGTTAAATTATGGAATCCACTACCCCAACTTCCATAGTTTTAAAAGGACATTAGCCAGATTCATGGAGGGTAAGGTTATCAATGGCCATGATGGCTGTATATTACTTCTGGTATCAGATGCAGAATGCCTTTGTGTACTGATACACTGGGGAGCAAATGGGGAGGGGTGATTCTGTGTTCCTTCCATGCTTGTGAGCTTCCTCAAGGCATCCGATTGGCCACTGTGAGAACATAATGCTGGATCCAGCAGAGCTCACCTTTTGTTCTTCTTATGCCCCTTCATTAATTTTCTCAAACACTTGTTTCAAGCTATGTATTCTGGCTGCAGCCCTTTGATTATCTGTTCCACAGAACTCCCTTGCATATCATCTTACCTTTCCAGGTCGGGGTTGGACCAACCATCAGGCAGAGTGAGGCTGCCATCTTAGACTGCTGATTTTGGTATCACGAAGGGGCAGAAAACCGCTGGTGGTTTTATTCATCGTAACTGCATTTTTACTTGCCAGAAAGCAGGAGGGGCAGTTGTAGGATTTTCTGCTTCAGGCGCCAAAAGAATCTGGTTGGCCTTGAGTGAAGATGGGCAGGGAAGGGCCACCATTTGCTACTCTGCCTCGGGCAGCAAAATGTCTTGCTTGCCAATGCTTTTCATCTTAGTCATTCATTTGTTTTCTCTGACTTCTTTTATAATGATGCTGAGCTTTCCATGGCTGGCTGAGCTATTCTCAGCTGCTCTGACTCATCTCTGGCACCATGTTTCAACAGAGTCTTCAAATCCTTACTTGCAATGGCCAGCAAAAGTCAAACTCACTACCGTGATAGTTGGATCATTTGTTGGAGGAAATCAGGAAGTGGGGGAAACGACAACTTCCCCCTCCCCAGTCAAACAAGGGATACGTCCACACCACACATTTAAAGCATCATTACACCACTTTAACAGTCATTGCTTCCCCCAAAGAATCCTGGGAACTGTATTTGCTAAGAGTACAGGGAATTGTAGTTTTGCAAGAGGTCTCCCTTCTCTCAGCATGCTTAACAAACTACAGCTCCCAGGATTCTTTGTGGGGTAGCCATGATTGTTAAAGGGGTGCTTTAAGCATATGGTGTGGATGTGACTTGGCGGCATAGCAGCAGTTCCACCTGTTTTAATATGGAACTCAGCCACACGTAGGAAAGAAAATGAGATTCAGTTTTAAAATAAAAATGGGGTGTGTGGACAAGTTCAGAATGGCTCCACCACCTGCAGCTCTCTTCTCCACAGCTTCTCTGCCAAGTGCTTTTCTCCTCAGCTGAACTTTAAGATTCTGGAAATGGCCTTAAAATACTTTAAAAGGGGCTAAAGTGGAAGGGTAGTTCTGTACTCCTCTCCTGCACACGCCTTTTTCTTTAAAAACCGAACTATCACACCTTTTATGTGGCTGGAACAATTCCACAGGTAAACATACGAAACTGCCCCTGTAATGTCTAGCTTGGCCTTTAAGACTTGGTGGTAGTCACAACACTTTCTGTCTTTAGGCTGTGAGAAATGTTTCACATTTCTTATCACAGTCCAATATGCAGAATTTCAGTGTCACACTTTACCAACATTACAGCTACTTGCTCTTTTTACCTTGACACAAATGTATGTGTTCATACAGACACTTAAATATAAGCCGATACTGTCAGCATCGCTCTTGAGCCAGTGCCATCAACTGGACTCATACACTTCAGCCCCGACTGGGCTAGGCGAGCTGGGTAGCACTGCCAGAGACCTCCTTTCTCACAGGAACAGGTCACAGTGCTGTCGACTCACAGCTTAGAGCTGAGAGCACTGGATTCACTGTCTCAATAATACAGTCGTTGCGCAGCAGAGTTTTGCAGAGTCTTGCAGAGTATAAACCACTCGGAGAGCAGCTCTGTAGAATATCTTCCTTTTGTTCTGTAACTACAACTATGATACAAAACTATATACAGAGCTGAATATTCTAAGCATAAATCAATGCTACACTGAGAGTCTGCAGCTGCACTTAGCAGCAACCTTATCTCTAGACACACTCTCTCTCTCCGATACACTGACTGACTGACTCTCTCACACACACACATTGATGTGGTGCTGGGCAGAATAAGTAGATAGCAGGACACGCCTCCTCCTCTCTGGAGAGTCAGTAGAGACCATCAGGAGATCATCAGGAGATTCTTGGGTATGGGAGGGGTGAAATCTCCTCATCCTCCCCCATTTCATCCGACCATTTCAAGAATCTTTTACATAACTGCAATTTATACACACACACCAAAAGTTGTTCTCTGCTTACAATCTTGGTCTACATATTTGCAGGTATCTCTCTCCCCCTTTATCTAAGACACTTTATCACATCATTAAACAGTTACTACAACCACTCTGTGTCCATTAGGAAAGAGTTAAAACATAAACCTCAACCTGTAACTCACACAAAATACACATTGTGAATATACAAACGAATAAGCAGCTTCTGGAAAAATCTTCACACACATTTCTTCCTCTCAAATCAAATTGACATTTCTAATTAGGCAGATTTGAACAAACCATTTTCAGAACTCAAATACACGCTTTCCTTCAAATATCAGGTAAGGAAATAAATGCAGCGTTTTGTGCTATTACTCTTATCACACTTCATGTCTGGTTTAAAAACCCCACCAGAGTTGCATGTGACCACAGCCTTTGCAAACTCTTCAGAAAACCTTTTCGGTGGTACACCCTTGGTTGTTCTCTTGGACCTGCGCAGAACTCTCTGATCCTCTTGTTCTGGTGCTTCCTCCTCTTTGGGAGAATGGGGAGCTAAAGTATATGAAGCTGCTAAGTCTGAATCAGCGTCAGACTCACCTGAGGCTTTTGGGCTCTGATAATCTGTGCCATCATCTGGAACTACATTGGCATCAGAATTATCAATCACATCAGAACTTGCCTCCCTCTTAACTTTCTTTGCCCCTTTTGCACCATCATCACAAATGGGATGGCACTGAAAAACGCCAACTCTGTCCCATTTTGGATTGTCATCTATACTCCTGGTCAGCCTGATGGTTTTCGTGTCTGTGATCAGGACACAATAAGACCCTTTCTCATACCCTAGGAAAACACCATGTTCTCCACGCTTGCTCAGTTTGTCACCCTGCGAGGTGTGCACCCAAACCTCCGAACCAAAAATTTTAAAATGCTTTACACATGGCTTCCTTCCGTGAAGCATCTCATACAGGGTGCAATTTACACTAGACTGATACCTCCTGTTATACACATAACAGAAAAATGAAAGAGCTTCGGCCCAATAGGGATTGGGCAGCCCCGAATCATGTAACAGTGTTCTGATTCCTTGCTGCAGGGTCTGGTTTATTCTCTCACATAAACCATTCTGCCAGGGTGATCTGGGTGTGGCTGTCCTATGCTCAATGCCCTGTTCAGAACGAAAATTCTCAAACTCTTCTGAACAAAACTCTCCACCCCTGTCTGTGAAAAGACAACGTACATTCTCATTATGTACATTCCTGAGCCATTTACAAAACTGGCGAAACTTAGTAAAGGCTTCAGACTTTTTCTGCAGCATATAGAGCCAAACATATTTCGAATAGGAGTC